CTTCGCCCAAGCTTGACAAATCCGGACTGCTACCGAGTCTTCGTTACGAACATCAAAACCTACCTACGGTCGATGACGGACACGGCAGTAGGGCACGATGCTTTTTCTAGAATGAAGCAGGAAAACGGTGAATCAGCGGTCGCGTTTCACGCTCGGTTGATGTGTAAAGTACGGTCGTGCAACTACAGCGTTCACGACGAGGACAGATTCATGCGTGCACAGTTATTAAGTGGACTAAGGAACAGAGACCAAGCCGGACGCGGCGGGTTCGATTCCCGGTCCGGTCGAGGGAATCTTTCGGATTGGAAATTTTCTCGACTCCCTGGGCACACAATATACAAATTCATGCATTGGTATTGGCATCGAAAGCTCTCAATTAATAACTGTGGAAGTGCATTTAGTAGAACACTAAGTTGAGAGCACGCAATAAGCTAATATGCCCTAAGCAATAAGCTTGAAATGCGAATAAGAAGAAGAAGAAGGAACAGAGAACTCGTGAAACAGGGAAGGATCTATGGCCATGAAACGAATTTTATCATACAATCCGCTACGAGGGATGAGGCTTTCGAATCCGAGATGCGTCAACAGGACTAGCCAAGTATTTTCGAAGTCAGGAGAGCATATCGGCCATCATCATCCTTGTACAACTCCAACGATCGCAAGCGTCCAAATATAGACAACCCCTTGCGCATCCGTACGGAGTGTGAAGTGTCGGCCTAGTAGGAAGTAGGAAAAATGCTCCACTGCCCATACTGCTCCCAATGATTCCCTTTGATTCTGCGCATATTTCTTCTCGGTGGTAGTGAGAGCTTTTGAGGCAAAACTGATTACTCTTGGTGCTTGATTTACACTTTCTTGTACCAGCACAGCACCCAGAGGAACAGGAGATGCGTCTGTGTATAGGATAGTTTTGTCGCTCTCAGAGAAGAAGCCCATTGAAATCGTGCAATCTATGATTTGCTGTTTGATGGCCTTAAAAGCTTCGCTTAGCTCTGGTCCCCATAACCATGACCTAGAGGTTGTTGCTGCCCACATTGGGTTAGACATAGTTGTAAAATTTGCAAGGTATGGGCTGAGAAACGATGTTAGACCAAAAAAAAACTTCGAAGCTCCGACAGGATTGTTGGTTCTCTAAAGTTGCGTACGCTGTTGACCTTTTCGTTATCGATGTGGAAACCGTCGACGTCAAGTTCATGACCAAGGAACTTTATCCTAGTCCTATCAAACTCGTACTTATCTATGTTGAGGGTCAAGTTGTTTGTTCTCAGGATTCGTAATACTGAAGCGACCGTTATCCGAAGTTCCTCCAAGGTTTTTGCAAAGATGAGTATATCGTCGATGTACACTATGATGTTACCGACGTCTTTAAGGATCCGGACCATCTCGCGCTGGAATATTTCTGGCGCACAATTTACGCCAAACATGAGTCTAGTGAATCTATACATGTCATCTTCGGACAGAAATGTGGTTAGGTCTCGTGATTCTTCAGATAACTCGAGGTGGTAGAAAGCATTACTCAAGTCAAGTTTTGAATAGTACTTTGAACCATGCAGCTTCGAGTTAAAAGTGACATTTGCTGTCGATCGACCGGTTTTCGAGCCACGGTTGTCAATTATTGAACAACTACATCTGATCATCTGAACGTAACCTTCAGTAAGGCTCATCAGCCATATACATATGAGACAATTGTGATTCAAAAAAAAAATCTGGGAAGCAGTACTACCATAGAGGTAACTCTAAGACAAGTAGGTCCCGAAGAAACGTGCTCAACTTTTTGGCTCACCTCTACTACTATCTTCGGTCCCAAGCTTGTCGAATCACCCCTCGAAACATAGGAAAAACCAATAACCCCTCATTTTATCTGTCAAACTTTCATAGCGAATCAAAACAAACATAGTGTAGTACTAGAATTTCGACTAGAATAGGGTACGTTAACCGTTTGCTTGGGACCAATAGGCTACTAAAGTGGTGAGCCAATTTAAAATCGTTAGTTTCGTATTGATTGTTGGTACTACCAACAATCAATACGAAACTAACGATTTTAAATTGGCTCACTACTTGACTAGCCTATTGGTCCCAAGCAAATGATTAACGTACCCCATTCTAGTCGAAATTCTAGTACTACGCAATGTTTGTTTTGATTCGCTATGAAAGTTTGACAGATAAAATTAGGGGTTATTGGTTTTTCCTATGTTTCGAGGGGTGCATCGATTAGCTTGGGACCGAAGAGAGTACCAGAGCTGAGCCAAAAAGTTGAGCACGTTAATTCGGGACCTTCTAGTCTTAGAGTTACCTCTATGGTCGTAGTGTGTGGCCGACCCACCTCCACTTCCGTTCACGAATTTCTGTCTCTATCGGCTTCTGATGGCACAAACGATGAAGCTCGGAATTTGAGATCCAATTGTGGGGCCGCAGGCATCGGTTGATAAATACCTGCAGCTTCTGAGTGTTCACCGCTGATACACACCATGTTTCACTGGCGTATAACAGCACAGACTTCACGTTCGAGTTAAAAATTTGGATTTTGGTGCGTCGACTGATCTGATTAGCTCTCCATACATTTCGCAAACTGGCAAAAGCAGCCCTTTCCTTCTTAATCCGTGCACCTATGTCGCTCTTGGTGCCGCCACCGACGCTATCTGGCTGCCAAGATATTGGAAGCTTTCGACTTTCTCCACTGCCTGCCCAGCTACCGTGAAATTGGAACGGTTTTCCGTGTTGACATCCAACGATTTGGTCTTGTTGACGTTGATGGTTAGACCTGCTTCAGAGGAGCGTTCCACAAGGTCGTCGAGCTTACTCTGCGTATCAGAGCGCCGTTGTGATAATAACGCAACATCATCAGCCAAATCGAAGTCGTTGAGATGCTCCATGGTAATAGGCTGCCACAGCAACCAACGTTTCGGTACACGGTCAACGGCTCCAACCATGATCTCGTCGATTACGATGAGGAACAGTAGCGGTGATAATATACATCCTTGCCTCACACCCGCGATTACCCGAATCGGGTCAGACAAAGCTCCGTTGTGCAAATACTCTGCATGAGAAAGCCTCGTACTGCGCTTCGATGAAGTTGACGATCTTATTAGGGACTCCCTTGCGTCTCAGAGCGCCCTACAAGTTTTCGTGGTTTAGTCGGTCGAAAGCTTTTTCGTAGTCAATGAATACCAAGTACAGGGACTCTTGAAACTCATTGACCTGCTCCAGGATGATGCGGAGCGTGACAATATGGTCCACACATCGCGTCGATCTTCTCCTGTATCCGATTGAGGATAACTTTACACAGAACTTTGAGAACAATACACAGTAACATGATGCCAAGCCAGTTGTCGCATACAGTTGGATCCCCCTTCTTGGGGACTTTTACCAGTCGGCCGGAAAAGTCGCGGTGTCACTTCGGATGGCTGCTTCTATCTCCTGCAATGATGGAGCTTCAGTGTTGACGCGAGTAACGCGCCTCACCCTTGGCGGATCATGCCGAGATATTGATGGTTGGTTGACCGTTGAAACTTCGAGAAGTTGTTCAAAGTGCTCAAACCAACGTTTCAACCAACCGGTGAACACTCGTGTTTATTTCAGTTACCATGGAGACGTAATTTGTGATTAGCCCCGGTCCCTTTCAAATTGTATCATTATTTATGAACGGCCTTATATTTGAAATGACGTTTCACATTCATCTAGTGATGTCCGATTTTCATTCGAATAATCGATTAACGAACCGAAAAGTAAACTATTTATAATCGGTTAGATCATGCCGATATAAGCATTAACATCTCCACAGGATCATCACCGATCGTTTCAAACATGTGCTGCACTCTCATTGGTGGAAAAATGGCAGCACAGCGAACAAAAAAATAATCGATTAGTTGTCAATCGAGTAATTAAAAAATGGGACATCTCTGATTTTGGTGTGATTGTTTTGATAAAAATGAGCGCAAAATTTCATCTCTTCCGAGGGGGCAGCAAAACCACAAAATTACCTTGAATACGGGGGGTTCTCCTTGGATGAAAGGGACCGTGAAAGAAGACACTAAAATAGAAAGTTTTTCTTCCGACAGTTTCATCTTAGTATTCATCTTTGGTTTCATCTTAGTATTCATCTTTGTTTCAACTGGTCAGAGGGGTCGGTGAGCAACTGTCCAGTCGCGTTTTCCACAGGCATCCCTGGGTTCATCCTTACCCCGCTCAGGCGTCGTGAAACATCATTGAGCAGGCGGATATCGCCAATTGCTGCGGCTTTCTCCCCTTCATCAGCTAGGGAGTCCACCCACACTCGCTTGTCCCGTATACAGGAACGCCTCTCTAGAGCCGAATACCGCTGACGGGCCTCGTTCTTGGCTCCTCGGGTCCTTGCTCGCTCTATCGCGGCTTTTGCTTCTCTCCACTCCTCGATCTTCCTCCAGGTTTCATCGGTGATCCACTCCTTCCTCTGAGTGCGCAGCTCACCCAGGTTGTTCTCGCTTGTTTCAATAAAGGCATTCTTGATGCTGGTCCACTGTTCTTCTACGCTGCCACCTTCCGGAATATTAGCTGCGCGAGCCTCGAGTTCTTCGACGAACGATCTCTTCACTGCTGGCTCTTCCAGTCGGCGTGTGTTGAATCGCCGCCCGAGTCTCTCCTCCCGCTGTTGAACCCGCGGATCTCACCGACCAGGAGATGATGGTCAGACGCGATGTCAGCGCTGCGTTTATTCCGAACATCAAGAAGGCTCCGGCTTCATTTTCGGCTGATGCAGATGTGGTCGGTTTGATTCGAGTTATGTTTTGTAGAGTGAACAAGAATCCTCGGCTCTGTAAAGTTAATTCAATTGAGCCTTATCAAATAATTTAATAAACAAAAGAAAAGGGTAAAATATAATAAAGAAACCTTGAAGTACTCTTCGTTGCTTAAATTCCTTAAAGCAGGGTGCTAAATTGGGAGTAAATAAGGAATTTCGAAAAAATAAGCAAACATCGGTATTTATCATTAGCATTTATTTTTATTTCATTCGTCTTTCTTTTCTACAAAATACATGTTTTTTCTTCTAATCTTCAACGAGTTTTAAATAACCGCTTTCCACTGCTTACATTCCCCGATTAGCGGTTATGTGTATGAGGTAATCGAACAACGAAATCTTGATAACCGTAATCACACTAACAAAGCAATCGTCTTTTCCAGCATGATGCAACACTGAATCAAATTCGCTTAAAACAACTAATAATATTTCATTGACAAAACTTATAATATAATAACATGTTTGATTGGTTTTTTGGTGAACTAATAAAAGGTAATAAAGCAAAACCCGAACATAAGTAAAACCATGGAAATCGAAATGGGATAATGAACAAACAAAAAAAAAACAAAACTAGAGAAACCCATATGGCAATCGGTTGAATCATCACTAAAGAGATCTTCCTCGACGTTGATAATATTCCTTTGGTCTCCTCGCACGGGACACCTTGCGTTGCGTTCCCGGGCAACATAATCACACTAGAAATGGTCATTCATTCAATATGGTCCGGCTGCGCTGCGGGACACATTCCACACACTGAGTAAAAAAAGCTCACTGATTTGATCACTTACTCCAGCAACTCTGTGCTTGGTCACACTTTCCTTCTTTTCTTTTTTTTTGGTTTTGTAACAACTGTTTGGTCACACTTTTCTTTTGCGTTCTTTTTTACGGGACCCGTGGTGTTATGAGACGTGTTTACAATGGTGACGGTGTGTGTTTGTGAAGAGAAAAGTTGAGTGTCTCAAAAGTAAAAGAACTACGGAAAGTTTGAAAATTGGGAGCAAACTGATAACCAGGGGACCGATGGGGATGTGGCGGTGAGCACTAAGCGGATCGTGTGGGGGGAATTGAAGGATGTAAGGACTGGGGTGGGTTGGATGTTAGAAACAGGGAACTACCGGGTTAGTGTGAGAGTGGTAGGGTGTGGGGCAAGTGTCACGCACATTCGCTACTATTTGAAATGATCGAATTTACAGTCTTGATCAATACACTCGCCACGCATCTGATAGGGACATATTACACCGTCCGGAATGTTTAGTGCACTATAAAAAAAGATAACCAACGAAAAAAAAAGAGAAAGAGTAAGGAGATTTATCATTTCAAAACAACAGTTTAGGTGTGAGATAGTGAGTGAGAGAAGTCAAAATGTACACGGCTGCTTTCTGGCCACTAACCTTTGATCTTTCAGGGACACCAACGGGGACGTGTACTGCTTAAATTGGGATTTGATTTCGCAAGCAAGTGCCGCCGGAGCTTCCTGCGTAACGCCATGCTGGTCTTGCTCCGTTACGACTAACGGGCTTACGCTTCTAGAGGTCGGTGCACTTTTGGCGTATTGCCTTGGTTCCACATCCAGCTCGGGGGCCGTTTGCTGCGGCACCACAGTCTCATTGGTGTTGTTTGGACATATATCATTCGTCGGGGGAGATTCCGCGACTGGTGGCCGCAACTGCTCATCGGGCTCCGGTGTAGCCGATTTGACCAGTTGTTCTTCGATTTCATGCTTCTGCCTTTCATGCTGCAGTCGCCTTTGGTCGGCTGTGAGCTGTTTGAACTCATCCAGCGAAAGCCTCTTCATTTCTTTGAGCCGTTTCGTCTCCGTGGTTAGCACCTTTAACTGCTCGTGAATCTCACTTCGTGCGCTGGATGGTGGACTGGAAAGACAGTAGTTTATCAGTCAATGTCGGGTCTACAACCCCAAACATATGTGTTACTCACCTGTAGTTTTGACCTTGGGTCTTTCGTCCGACCGCCAGGCAGATATTGTTCAGTTCGATCGATCGCTTGCGACTGGCCATCACTTTCGTGTGCGATTCATGCAGAGCAGGGAATATGTCGTCCAGTCTTTTCTTGTGCAAGGACAATGCTCGCTCCAGCACCATCAACTTTTCCTTCAAGAAGGCCACCTTATTCTCCAGGTCGTATTGCTTCTGCCGTTCCTGTTGTGCGTTTTCTACGGTACCGATCAATTCCTGAAGCTCCTGAGCGAACTTTTGGCTGGGCACAGTAAATACAAACAGATTCATTTCAATACCACAAAGGAAGTTCTATCTAATTACCTATGCTTCTCGAAGCGATGCTCCGCTATCGTCAGCACCTTCCGGCGATCCTCCTCCCTCAGTGCCGGTAACCGCTTGAGGGCTTCACGTAGTGAAGTAACCTCGAGATCCTGACTGACATTACCTTTACGATTCGTCAAACTACTGCTGCCTCTCACCGGTCTAGTTTCGGTGGCGTTATTCGTCGTACCTGATGTACTGGTGGGTGGCTGTTCATCATTGGTTATTATGGCTGGAGGAGCAACATCCTGGACGTTAGTCTCCCTTTCCGCTATCACGGTATTGTTAATCAACACCCGCTTGACAAGCGGTTCGGAAATGCGTTTCGATGGCTGTTGTACATTAGGACTGATCTTGCTCACCACATCTCGCCTATCACGATTGACGGTAACGACAAGATCAAGATTTTTGCTCACTTCAGTTGTCTCGCCAGGACCCGCATTGATTATGGTTTTCGTAAGAGGATGCGGAGGACCCAACAATGGTGGTGGTGTTGGTGGTGGTGGTGGAGTAGGAGGAGGAGGTCGCGTATGGGTTTGGACGGAAACCCGTTGCTGCTTTTGCTTCTCCAGAAGAGCCATTCGAGCTACCAGACGACGGTATTCCAGCTGGGCAGACTTTGGCAGATGACGGACGGCCTGTGGAGTAGATAAGCAGGATACTGGTTTCTTTTGCCCACTGCCCTGTCTGACTGTCCGATCGGCTGAGCGATGCGGAAAAGGTCATTTTTGGGAAGAATCGTTGTGATTATTGTTCGCATATGAGTTCTAAGCCTAATCAGCCGATTCCACAGACAGTAGACAGGTGCAACGTTGCATACAAGCCACATTCTTGAATTTAACTGAACTCAGGGAATTATTCTAGAAATATTACTATGAAACACTGTGAACTAATTTGATGGTTTTGAACTCCAACCGTGCAGCAATTTTCTCTACAGATTTCCATAATTTTCATTTGATGTATTCTATGCCAAATAAAGGTTTAGGAAATTTAGCCTTGCATTCAAACCTCATCCTTTTAGAAACCTATCGACGCACATTCCTTTTATAAATCTCCGCTATGAACTTGCCCTGAATGTTCTTCGAAATTCCCTCAAAAACCCTTCTAAACTTGTTCCACCTCCAAAGAAAGGAACCTTTTAGGTACAACGTTGAGGCTGATGGAACAACTTCAGTGGATCCCAGACCTTTCGGAGTTGCGTTCGTTGCGTTTGTGATGGGAAAATTAGAAAATTACACACTCCCCCCTATTCTGCGAGTCACGTGACAGAGAGTCACGTGACTCGCAGAATGCAGAATAAGGGCCCTGTCCCCGGGGACTGTCTTGTTCTTATTTTGGTTACCCACACTCTAAAAACCTGCAAGTCAATGTTGCGTGAAAAATCACGTAGCCCCTGAAACATTTACCTTCCATCAATATAAATTCAGATAACAATTACACGTAAATGGTAAATGATTTTCAAGTATGAAAAAATTAGTACGATTCAATAGGCCTTTTTAATAGAAACTAAACGATCGATTCAGTCTCTGGTCGTGAATAGGAGAACGTCAAAAAGAGTGTTGTGAGCAGAAATTTTTGCCTTGAGACATAGGAAGCGGAACACTTTTTTACTTTTCCTGATAAATTCAGTGCTAACATTTGAAAACGGCACAAAAGCCATTTGTAAACAAATGGTTGGTGGGCCCTTTACTCGCTACCCGAAGAACGCCCACGCAAACCAACAGCATCGTCAGGAAGGGGAAAATCTCCCCTACCCGATGTTGCTGTTGTGTCGCGTGGGTGTACTTCAAGTAGTGAGTAAAGGGCCCACAAACCATTTGTTTACAAATGGCTTTTGTGCCGTTTTCAAATGTTAGCACTGAATTGATTCATCTGAGATGCTCGAGAACTTAATCTACAGTTGAAAAATTTAATTTTGTAACGTTTTTGCAAAGATCCTGCTGGTGTTCAGGAATATTTTTGTTGAGAAAAATGGAAAATTAGAAAAGTGCCTTAGTGGTTATGATCTTCCGGATTTCTTGTGTGTGAATAGTTAAGGTACAAATCAGTTCAGATCTGTGGAAAATCGTACTATAAGACAATTACCGATAGAAATTGGCAAGATGTTGAATGAAAAATGCTTTAATTTGCGTTGTGAAAAACAATTATTCTGATGTAAACAAACGGTTTGGTTGACGTTTCTTCTCGAACTGGCGTGGCGCACTCTACGTTTGTGGTGCATTAAAATGGCGTATATGCCCATGTTGGCCCCTTTAGCAAAAACATGCAGCTGAGAAAAACGCAGTTGAACTCACCGCAGAGAAGTCATTGTTTACAAAAGCTGTTACGCCCTAATTCCAGCTCTATCTAGATTTTCTTTTTTATTGTCCTAATTTGATAGTGAAACTTGAAAAAATGCATTCTATTAGTTAAAATATTAATTAGTAAATACTTTTACACGCAATTCGTTCATTAAAGGATTAAAATAATGCCTAAAAGCTTGCGAAAATAGAAACGAGACTGACATGCGTTTATTTGCTCCTGAACGAGGCAGAATAAACGCTCAGCAGTATTGCAGCTTGCTATGATGCATTGGCGTTGACGGCGACTGCAACTCTTTGCTCCTGTGGTGTAATTCTATAAGCATCTGTCAGTCTGTGCATGAAATTTGGCAAACTGTGACTTATAGCGAATTCGTTTATTATCGGGGTTGGAACTGTTAGAAGTACAATTGATCACAGGAATCTATGAATATACGATTGTATAAATTTTAGAAAATAAAACATTAATTCCTTTGTCAACCACCAAACAGTAAAGGTGTATTTCTGATGAAATCAAATCTAGATAGAGCTGGAATAAGGGCGAATGTAGCAAGTGTAAACAAACTGAGGTTAATACATCACATACGTTTGTGGGGTGAGGCAGTATATGCAGCTGCATACCTAATCAACCGCAGCCCGACGGATACTGTGGATAACAATCGTACGCCCTTCGAAGTCTGGAATGGAACGAAGCCAAACGTCAGTAATCTTCGTATTTTCTGAGTGGAATGTTTTGTCCACGTCCCGAAGCAAAAGCGGAAGAAGTTGGATTCGAAGTCTGAAAAGGCGTTGATACGTTGATTGATGAAGCTGCTGGTTGAGATCGTGCTGAAAGTGAAGTACGCAAAATGTCTACCACCCTGTGTATGTGCACCCCCTGTCTGGCACAAAGACTACAACATATAGGCGTTTGCGTTAAATGCTGAGGAGTACCTTGACAACATCCCAAGAAATATAGCGGAGTTGAAGAAGCGCGATGACTGGCCGCTGTGGAAGGCAATCGAAGCCGAACTGTCATCTCTGGAGAAGAACAGTACGTGGACTTTGATCGAGCTACCTATTGGGAGACGACCGGTAGGCAATAAATGGGTGTTCACTATCAAGCGTGATGGCAAAGGTAAGGTCGGTAGATACAAAGCCCGACTTGTTGCCAAGTCGGTTGCCAAGGGTTTCACACAAACGAAAGGTTTCGACTATTCGGAAACATAGGGTAGAGAACTACCTCGGTCTAATCGCCCATTTTAGGCCTATCGAGCAGAAAACTTCAAATAAATCCATGATTTCAGAGTTAACAAGTCAATTATGCGTTTGGTACGATACTTTAGTTAATAAGCTACCGAACGAAGTTGCACCCATTATTCCCAAAAACAAAAGAAGCGCTCCGACCGAATCAATTTTTATCTTCATCCGATAGGCCGAAGTGAATTCATTGGCATTTCAATTGCGTTTCAATGCGTTAGGCCGAGTTTAGAATTAATTATATGATTTGAGTAGTAGCTATACTGAAGATCCGAGAGATGTCGCCCCTTCAGTGTTAGGAAAATCATTTTTGCAGTATGGAGAATATCAGAAAATCCACGATTTGTGACTAAACATGCTTTCACAGAAGGAAACAAATAAACGAGTGTTTACCTTATCACCATAGTAAAGGGTGATACGGTCAAAATTTGGTCAAGGGAAAACGCGTGTAAATCGGTGAAATCGTTTATTTAAAAAATCAAATTAAATTTATTTTTCAAGTTCAATTAGTATAAAATTCAGGAAAAATATTCAGTTAGGCTTCCGCTTTTCCAAATCCGAATTGCCGGGCCTTACGCTTGACCCCTGCCATCAGATTTTGTACAGCCACCTTGTCCACCTTCTTCGCCGCAGAAAGCCAGTTTGCCTTGAACTGCTGCTCGCCCTTAGCAGTTTTTTTGGTCTTCTTTAGGTTCCGCTTGACAATAGCCCAGTATTTCTCAATTGGGCGGAGCTCTGGCGTGTTGGGAGGGTTCTTGTCCTTGGGAACCACCTGCACGTTGTTGGCGGCGTACCACTCCATGGCCTTTTTACCGTAATGGCAAGATGCCAAATCCGGCCAAAACAGTACGGAACAACCGTGTTTCTTCAGGAAAGGCAGCAGACGTTTATTCAAACACTCTTTCACGTAAATTTCTTGGTTGACAGTCCCGGAAGCTATGAAAATGCTGCTTTTCAAGCAACAGGTACAGATGGCTTGCCAAACCAGATATTTCTTTGCGAACTTTGACAGTTTCATGTGCTTGAAAACATCTGCTACCTTTCCCCTTCCTTTTGCCGTATAAAACTCCTGTCCCAGAAGCTGCTTGTAGTCGGCTTTGACGTAGGTTTCGTCGTCCATTACCACGCAGTCAAACTTCGTCAGCATCGTCGTGTACAGCCTCCGGGATCGGGCTTTGGCCGTCGTATTTTGTTTATCATCGCGATTTGGAGTCACTACCTTCTTGTAAGTCGATAGTCCGGCTCGTTTTTTGGCTCGATGCACGGTTGTAGACGATACACCCAGCTTATTTGCGGCATCTCGGAGAGAGAGGTTAGGGTTTCGCTTGAAACTACCGGCAACTCTCTTTGTCGTCTCAGCGGCTTCCGGTTTTCGATTTCCCCCCGATCTAGACTTCCTGGCTGTCGACAAACGTTCCCTAAACACTTTAATTACATTTGTACACTGAACCAATTTGACATATTCCTGTTATGTGGAAATCTAATAAATTTGCGCTATAAGATAATCCATTGAAAATGATATGATTGAAAATGTGTCAGGTAAATTCTATATGAATATCTGATACATTTACAATGCTGATAATTTGGTAACTTTTATGTGATCGTCATATGATAAATGAAAATCAGTCAAATTATAATAATTATCTGAAATGGATTTGAAACCCATAAGCATAAGCTTTACGTTTCACCACAATATAATATATGTGTCATAAATCAATCGAAGTAAAGTTTATGTGAAAATCACATGAAATTTACTTCTTCTTTTGACACATATATTTAATCGATTTCTAAAAATAAATCGAAAAATAAACATCAGGCAGTGGGAGCTTTCACAGTTGTGTCTTTTTTTATTGTAGCTGATTTGGGATTCGATCAAGAACTGTTGAGGTGTGATGCTTTCGGTTTCTGCGCTCGATTCCACTGGACCACGGCTGACTTCAAGATTGAGCTCGTTCAATTAGCATGAAGTAAGAACAGCTCTCCCGACATGGAAAGTAGTGCAACTTTATGCTCGTTTTGCTAGAGTGAAGACAAATAGCACTGACAAGTTTATGTTCCGTTTCGGTGGTGTCGTTTGTTCAAATCTTTCTTAATGCGCC